TAAGAGAAGGAGGGAGTTGTTAGAAATATGTGCAAGAATTAAATAACACTGTTCACCTGACAGGAGCAAAGCAATTGTGAAATCATTTCCGCATTTGTTTAATCTATTAGGTACTAAACAATTGGCATTTATTCTATGAAATGGTATTTGCCAAGAATAATTTGAAATACTGGTTGAAACAAGTTGCCTGGCATATTGGTATCACCCACGGTACCTACGTTTCATTTGGTGTTTTTTTCTCCCTATTTTCATTTTTCCAAGTTTCTGTATTACTAAACACGCGCGCGACAAACTATAGTTGTACTGTCTTTAACGATGTTGATCGCGTATTTGTTGTTTTAAAAAGTAGCGGTGACAGTGTGCATCCCTGAATAAAATAATAATGTCATAAATCCAAACAAAAAAATCGGTTGTCTGTAAAGTCGGTTTACTGACTATAGTTGAACGTGACAACGTCATAAGAAAATACTGATGGAATGGTTTCATTTTTCAAAAGAAAATTTTAATTTTATTTGTTTGATAGATATTTTGTATGGATATAGAGAAGGAGGTAAATGGAAATCACAATTGAATTGATCAAGTTACATTTATTTGTACGCATAAATATAATTATGTCAATTTTTATTTATTTTTGTCCAATGTACATAGTTTTTACAAGTATGAATGTGCTTTGAGCAATTGTTTTACAACTTTTATTTACAACTTTTAAACATCATTAAAATTTTTGTAACTCTAGCTTCAATTCGACAATATATCACTGAACATATATTTAATATCGAAAGAATCATTACCTTTATCGCCGCAATTATCGTTGCTATAAACAATTGACACCACATTCACTTTTCACTGCACTATAGCAGCTGTCCACGCGGACGCATCGCTCACTCAAGTAGGACAGAGACAAATGTCGAACGCTGCCGAACGCGAAGGCCGATTGTGCCTCTTTGTCGCTCGTTCCGCGCTCTCGCTTGCACGTCAAGCCTTAAATGGAACGCCTCAGAGCGAGGTAACGCCGCATGAGTCATGTTTTTTCGTGCGTGCACCGGCTCCATCGAATTATAAGACGTTGTCACGTCAAAATAAATAAATCTTCCCATCAAGTGTCGTCAGTCTTCATCATCATCATAAGATCATCAGTCCTAAGATTAGGCGGACACGCACCTCCACTCTTTGCTATCCTATGCTAATTTTCGTATTTCCCTAAAGCTAGAACAACCCATATCATTAACTATTTGCGAACAGTAATCTTATCGAGGACTACCTCTTCCCCTCCTAACTTCCGTTTCTGCCTCTATTATGTCTCTGATAAGACCTTTATGCCTGAGAAGGTGTCCAACTAACCTATCTCGCCTATTTTTTACTGACTTTCATAGAGTCCTCTGTTCTCTTACTTTTTCTAATATCTCTTCATTTCTAACCTTCTCTATCGGCGGTATCCTCATTATTCGCCTGTAACACCACATTTCGAACGCTTCTAAACTTTTCCTTTCGGCCGCGCCCACTATCTATGTTTCGCACCCGTACAGCGTCGTGCTCCAAACATACACCTTTCACAATATATTAATATAAAACCAGGTAGACACGTACTTCCACTCTTATGTTTGCTTCTTAATAATTCTTTTAATCACAAATTGGTCTATTTACTGTTAAATTGCCTTAAATGCTGAAATTTTCAGTCATAGAGGCGAACTTTTATTGAAAATATTGTCGAAAGTCAAAAACTTACCCTTCCACTAATGACCCTTCCACCAATGCACAAATTAACGTTTTAGCAAAAAAAATAGTACAAGATGCTTGAAAGCAGTAAAAACACAGAAATAAGATTAGTTTCATCCATATGTTATTAACACTTACTCCTATGACATACTTGTAGATCCCTTTTGTCAAACAGTGATATAGTTTCTATTTTTTTATATTTAGTGTTAAAATCTAGTAAAGCAAATTTTAAATACCAAAAATGTGTTGATCCAAGAAAAGAACATATTAAGGTAGTTTCAAATAATTTAACTTATCAATCCACCAGAAGTAATAATTTACATATTTGGTCTTGGTCTTGTTCATTCGGTTATGGTCTTGGTTTTTGTCTTGCATTTTTGTATGACCCAGACCAATTTTAGTCATCGCTATGCTTTAGAAGCTTTCCTACCAATCTATCTCGTCTTTCTTTTCTTACTGACTTTCATGACGTCATGCGTTCACCCAATTATTCTAATATATGTGCACAAAATAAAAACTTCTCATTAGGGCACTATATAAAAAATCAATTCTCCTTTGTCGTTAATTTTTTTTCTTGTTACATTAGAAGTTTGTACTTATACAGAAAATATTAATCAGCCTATTCAAATTTCAGCTCGAAATATGAATTCTTGAATGTCGTTTAAAAGTTTTGAAAAATATTTCATAACTAGTCTTTATAATTTGCCATTTAGGATTGGCGCTCTAAATTTGGTTACAAGTTAGTTACTAAAAATGCTGTTGTCTATCAATCATTTATTAATCAGTGTTGTCCTTGTGTAATAAAATATCAATGTGAAAATTAATTTTCAGTTATTACCCACTGTAAATTGATATGATATTGTAATGTTCGTGGGTTTAACAAATTAAACTTTAATTAGAAAACTATTTATTTACACTAATGACGATTAAACTTAAAAACACTATTAAATTATTACTAAACTTCGGTAATTATTCTATCTATTTACACTACTGTTACTATTCACTGTTCTATTTATTTCACTTCTACCACTTTCAATTTATCTCTTGATTTATTTCTGCGACGGTCAATTTATTTCTACTCCACTTCGGCGATCGTCTCTTCCTTTTTATACTCCCTTGCCTCCTTTCGGGAACGTTCTTCAGCCTTCCAGAGAAGTCTCGTTTTCTTTGAACGATTTAATACGGCGCACATGAAGAAAAGCGCCCGCGGCTAGTCGGCGAATCGATAAGCCGCTCACACACACGTATGCCCGATCGCACACAATCACGCTCGCGGTCGCTACAATATATATAGGCAGATCGATAGATGTGCGTATGTGTGTGTGTGTGTTTTTTTTCCTTTTCCTTACTTTTCCTTATCCATATCATATAGGTACCACATTCTTGCATGAGCTCCTGGGCCCATGATCTGCTGTGTCCAAGTTTCTTTCTAGGACATGTTGTAGTGTTTCTTCCTTGTTCCTACACATTCTGCATAGTCTTTCCTTTTCTGACAGTCAGTAATTATTAGTTTTCGTTTCTGATCTTAACCTGAACCTTGCATACATCTCCAGTTCGTTTCTGCATTTATGTCCCTCTTTCAAGTATTCTAGTTTATCGATTGGGTTGATTTCTTTGTATTTCTTGGCGTATTTCTATGAATTTAGTTTCTCATCTGGTTTTAGCCTCTGTCTTGCTCTTTTTCAATTTTCTCTGCTTCTGCCCATGTGTCGATGTTATTCTTCATAAGTTGATTAGGTACAGTAGTCAGAGTGTCCATTTATTTTCTAGAAAGTAGTTCTTCCAATTTTGTGCTCTTGGCTATTTTTCTTTTTAATTTTTCTTTTTCCAGTATATATTGTATCTTGTCTTTTACTTTTAAGAATTCTTCAAGTAGATTACTTCCCTCTTTTCTAATTTTCTCCTCATATTTTATCGCCCTTTTTCTAGTCTTATTTGCCATCTTTTCCTTGCCTGCTTCTAATTTTAGTAGGTAGTTTGGTGTTCTTTACCTTGTCCTCTGACCATCCCCATAGTTCCGCCCCATACACGAGTAGGTATACTTTCTACCAGCAGTAGGTACTTCAAATAAATACATTTTATTTTCCCAAATTTTCTTGAAATCCCCTTCAGATGTGCTCCACACTTTATCTGAGACTGCAGTTGACTTGATATTTGATATATTAACCACTATTAAACGTCAAACTATTTCATATAGTATTAAGGTAATAAAGTACTGATTATTGTCTATATGCCTCTCTTATTCATTTTAATTTATTCCTGTTTTATTTTTTATACTATACTACTAAACATTTTAGTTATTTCCTACCTACTGCATGCAATTTTTTCTAATTTTTTAAACATCGCCACTGGAATTTGTCAGAAATCGTCTAGGGATATTTCAATTGATTTTAAACATCTTGCATTGTTGGTTGCGTACACACGGAGGTCACGTGGCTTTCGGCCATTCATAAAGGCACTGTACAGTTTGCGATAATGCGAAAAAACCAGTTTAAATTCTCCAATTCCGTCATACGACTTAATGTCAACGTAGTGACTGAATGAATTTTAGTTTTTATCATCTTCATAACATCGTCCAGTCCTAAGACTTTAATCTAATAGGCCTACCTCTACTCCTACTAACTTCTGATCCTGCTTTTAATATGTGGTCTGACTAGCCCTTGATGCCTGAGAAGGTGTCCTACCAACTTATCTCGCCTATTTCTTATTGACTTCCGTAGAGCCCTGTGTTCTATTTTATCTAATACTTTTAACGTTTGTTGACCCTTAAATTAGTACATGACTGAAATAGTGACTTTTACTTGCTTAAGCCTGTTTTTGGCCGCCCTGTATGCCCATGTTGCGAAGTCTTATTTACTGGTCGTTTAAATAATAGCATTTAACTTGCAAATGGTCTAAATAGAAAGCATTTAATAAGCATCTAATTACTATGCGACTAAAAAAGCCATTTTCACTCATTGAATACTTTTTTCACTCATCCAATTTTTTAAAAAATAACTCGAGTAATTAATTTCTCGTTAGAACAGTTAATTAGCACTTAAAAAGCATTTAATTGCCCACGTATTTGTTTTTGATTCTGCTTCGCTTTTCCTACATAATGAACATTATATTAGGTAAGTATATTCTAATATGACCTCAAGTTGAACTTATATATTCATTGAATGTTTTTTAATTCCTTCTACTAAATGTATAGTATCACAGATTTTTAATGGTATAACATGTCCATATTAACAAGGTTTCACTGGGGATGGCAAATGGATGATTGGGCAAAATAAAACATGAAACAATCCAAACAATATCTATTTAAATTTTGTAACCCCATTTAACAAAGAAAACTACTACAACTACTATTTAATAATCCCAATACACAATTTTCATCGCCTGGTCCATATTAGGCGTGAAGGAATCCTGAAACAAATAATTGGAATTAAGAAAAAATTATGGAGATAAATAGGTAATCAAATTATTCAACTGAATTGAACATAGGTGTCAATAATCGCAGCTTACGTATCTAATAGCAGTCTCCTAAGAATATTTTAGTACAAAAGTAACACTTAAAAAAAATGACATACAATAAACACACGAAAACACATGACGAGTTGTCAAGCATGATGTAGCTGTCACATAAGATAAATGATTAGAGAAACCGCTTATTGCTAGAAAGGAAAATTTTCAAGCAAAAATTGTAACTTGTGCGATTCCTGACAATAAACCCCAAACCTGGACCAGTAATGGGGAACCAACCATTGGCATGTCGATATTGGACCAATGTATGCTTAATCAAGGTTCGGGGCTTCTTCGTTTCGCCGTTTGTTCCAATACTGTTCAGGCAAGCATGAGCTTATTAATTCTGGACCAATGCAAGGTTCAGTGTATGAACGTTTCGCCAAGCTATGTCCAATACATTAGGCGTCGAAGTATTAGCTAGTCAATATTGTACTGAGCTTGAATTTATTAGCATGTAAATATTAATGTGAAAATTCATTTTGAATTTTCTATCCACTACAAACTACCTCAGGTTAATGAGGGAAAATTGTTGTTGCCGCCGGGAATCGAACCCGGGACCTTTTGCTTTACGCACCAATGCTCTGACTACTAAGCTACGAGAGCTGACAATAGTAATCACAACAAACCGAGCCTACAAGGTTACAGATCCGTCAATTTTTATAAATGTAATTATATCTACTAAATGTATGAAACACAATGACATTTTTTTATTCATCCATTGGCATTGGCAGCCCAGTCACTGTTCAAACTTTGAGCGAAATTACATACAATTAGGCATTTGCCAAGCTTGACCTTGCTGCGACTTCCTACATGAGATGTTTATTCTCTTTTTTTTGTTTCAATTTATAAATGGTAAACATTAATACATAGGTCCATTATTTTAAATTATAAGGTATCTTGATGCTCTACATTTCACATTAGTACTGTCTACTTCGATTGTGCAGTTTTTTACAAAAAAAGTTCCTTCAGTTAAAAATAATTGCTTTTGCTAATAATGATCCTGTAGGATGTAGACACATTTCGGTATTAATCAATTATTATTAGGCAATGAATATTCAATACAATGGTAATATATAATACCATTCAATTTACAATTTATAGTCAATTACCTGTAGAAGTTTAACGCTCCTAACATTAGGTTGGATTAGAGGACATGTGCACAAGAATCTGAAAGAAATTACATTTGTGTATTAGGTCTAATAGGTATAGTATAACACATGGTGGTTTATTTTAGGCATCAAAATAACGTTACCCAGACACACACGGTTTAAAGAAGCAAACCAGAAAATAAAACTGAAGAAGGTTACAGCCAAAAGTTGTTCAGAATACCGAATTGTGGCGCTCCAAAAAATCGTGGCGATATCTAAAAGTATTGTTTGAAAAAATTTTCGATTAAACTTACAGTTTGGCCCCATGGCCCCAATGAGCATACTGCGATTTTTTCTACAGTCCCATATTTAGGCATTCTGAACTACTTTTTCCTATTTATCTGTGCAGTTATTTAAACATTCTTTTTCACTGTATAGTATGTCAAATTTAAATGCTACAGACGATCTTGAATTAAAATAGGAAACAAGTTCCATTTGAAAAACTTTTTGACGTGACAACGTCTTATAATTCGATGGAGCCGGCTGCACACACGAAAAAACATGACTCATGCGTCGTTACCTCGCTCTGAGGCGTTCCATTTAAGGCTTGAAGTGCAAGCGAGAGCGCTGAACGAGCGACAAAGAGGCACAATCGGCCTCCGCGTTCGGCAGCGTTCGACATCTGTCTCTCTCCTACTTGAGTGAGCGATACGTCCGCGTGGACAGCTGCTATACAATAATACATTTACATGTTTTCGTCAAATATGAAGTGCAGTGAAAAGTGAATGTGGTGTCAAACCATTCCATCAGTATTTTCTTATGACGTTGTCACGTTCAACTATCGTCAGTGAACCGACTTTACAGACAACCGATTTTTTGATTAAATTTAGAGTTTGCCCCCTTACATATGCATCATCACCACACCGCGGATTAACTAAATCTAATGCTTCAAAGTTTTTGTTTTTATTTTTCATCGATTTTTTAATTAAGACGTGGTAGGTTACAAAAATGCCCTTTAAACGCCCCTTTCGAATATATAACATGTTTTTTAGTATTTTGACAAAAAAATATTAAAATAGGATAAAAAGGCTTTTAATCACCAACATATCTTTTCCTGATTCTTTTCAACTTGCCCCACGGAAGCACAAAACTCATTTTCTGTTTATTCATATAACTAGAGAGAATAAGAGATAGAACTAACTACAACCTAACTTACAAGGGGTACATAACCTTAGACAAAGTTATGTAAGTACCTTTTAAAGGTTAAGTTATGGTTAGATAAGATATTTCGATTATTAGAAAATGTTTATAATAGAATATTATTCTTTGGTAAGATGTAAGTAATAATTTAACTTATATATTCATTGAATGTTTTTTAATTCCTTCTACTAAATGTATAGTATCACAGATTTTTAATGGTATAACATGTCCATATTAACAAGGTTTCACTGGGGATGGCAAATGGATGATTGGGCAAAATAAAACATGAAACAATCCAAACAATATCTATTTAAATTTTGTAACCCCATTTAACAAAGAAAACTACTACAACTACTATTTAATAATCCCAATACACAATTTTCATCGCCTGGTCCATATTAGGCGTGAAGGAATCCTGAAACAAATAATTGGAATTAAGAAAAAATTATGGAGATAAATAGGTAATCAAATTATTCAACTGAATTGAACATAGGTGTCAATAATCGCAGCTTACGTATCTAATAGCAGTCTCCTAAGAATATTTTAGTACAAAAGTAACACTTAAAAAAAATGACATACAATAAACACACGAAAACACATGACGAGTTGTCAAGCATGATGTAGCTGTCACATAAGATAAATGATTAGAGAAACCGCTTATTGCTAGAAAGGAAAATTTTCAAGCAAAAATTGTAACTTGTGCGATTCCTGACAATAAACCCCAAACCTGGACCAGTAATGGGGAACCAACCATTGGCATGTCGATATTGGACCAATGTATGCTTAATCAAGGTTCGGGGCTTCTTCGTTTCGCCGTTTGTTCCAATACTGTTCAGGCAAGCATGAGCTTATTAATTCTGGACCAATGCAAGGTTCAGTGTATGAACGTTTCGCCAAGCTATGTCCAATACATTAGGCGTCGAAGTATTAGCTAGTCAATATTGTACTGAGCTTGAATTTATTAGCATGTAAATATTAATGTGAAAATTCATTTTGAATTTTCTATCCACTACAAACTACCTCAGGTTAATGAGGGAAAATTGTTGTTGCCGCCGGGAATCGAACCCGGGACCTTTTGCTTTACGCACCAATGCTCTGACTACTAAGCTACGAGAGCTGACAATAGTAATCACAACAAACCGAGCCTACAAGGTTACAGATCCGTCAATTTTTATAAATGTAATTATATCTACTAAATGTATGAAACACAATGACATTTTTTTATTCATCCATTGGCATTGGCAGCCCAGTCACTGTTCAAACTTTGAGCGAAATTACATACAATTAGGCATTTGCCAAGCTTGACCTTGCTGCGACTTCCTACATGAGATGTTTATTCTCTTTTTTTTGTTTCAATTTATAAATGGTAAACATTAATACATAGGTCCATTATTTTAAATTATAAGGTATCTTGATGCTCTACATTTCACATTAGTACTGTCTACTTCGATTGTGCAGTTTTTTACAAAAAAAGTTCCTTCAGTTAAAAATAATTGCTTTTGCTAATAATGATCCTGTAGGATGTAGACACATTTCGGTATTAATCAATTATTATTAGGCAATGAATATTCAATACAATGGCAATATATAATACCATTCAATTTACAATTTATAGTCAATTACCTGTAGAAGTTTAACGCTCCTAACATTAGGTTGGATTAGAGGACATGTGCACAAGAATCTGAAAGAAATTACATTTGTGTATTAGGTCTAATAGGTATAGTATAACACATGGTGGTTTATTTTAGGCATCAAAATAACGTTACCCAGACACACACGGTTTAAAGAAGCAAACCAGAAAATAAAACTGAAGAAGGTTACAGCCAAAAGTTGTTCAGAATACCGAATTGTGGCGCTCCAAAAAATCGTGGCGATATCTAAAAGTATTGTTTGAAAAAATTTTCGATTAAACTTACAGTTTGGCCCCATGGCCCCAATGAGCATACTGCGATTTTTTCTACAGTCCCATATTTAGGCATTCTGAACTACTTTTTCCTATTTATCTGTGCAGTTATTTAAACATTCTTTTTCACTGTATAGTATGTCAAATTTAAATGCTACAGACGATCTTGAATTAAAATAGGAAACAAGTTCCATTTGAAAAACTTTTTGACGTGACAACGTCTTATAATTCGATGGAGCCGGCTGCACACACGAAAAAACATGACTCATGCGTCGTTACCTCGCTCTGAGGCGTTCCATTTAAGGCTTGAAGTGCAAGCGAGAGCGCTGAACGAGCGACAAAGAGGCACAATCGGCCTCCGCGTTCGGCAGCGTTCNATCCAAGGATGGTACTATAGAATGTCACCTCAAGGTAGGCCTAGTGGCGTCATCTCTTGGTTAGGCCGGAAACTTATCAATCCACCCTCGTATAAATGTGTACTAATAGAAGAAAAAAAACAATACAAAAAGGAGAGAACGCGTACATAGGATCCGTATATTTAGAAAAAGCTTTTGACAATGTTAAATATACATAAAAATGAAATAAAAAGTAGGGAAAGGTAATAAACGGAGTAGAGGGTAACCTGACCCATTAGGGGGGTTATGACGTGAAGTGGAATGCCGGCAACCATATGTGGATCGGGTGTGCAGTCTGACCCTTTAAGGGGGCTGCACATTTGTGTGGCAAAAGCAGAGTAGAAACGAAAAGCATAGTAGCTCGAGCAAGCCAGGAGGCTGAAGAATGTCCGGAATTAGCGAGTATACGGCAAAACGGATGTCACCCAGCGAGGGGTGCTCCGGAGTAGCTGGTGGCGACCGGAGAGCCTATATCGGTACTCGGGAGGCGGGGGAACCCCAGGAGTTTAGCTTCGATTCCTGCCCCGCCAATTGGTATTGGACTCGAGGTGGCAGTCGGGTACAGCCCGCATGCTGAGTTAGGGGTCTGTGCAGCAGATCGTCCGGTTCTTTGTGTAGTCCCTGCATTGAACGCTTAAGGGTGTAGATAGGCCCGAACTTGGGGGTTACTCGCCTTGTTAAACCTCAGGCACCGCATCGTCTAACGGAAGGGAGACCACAAGGAGTCCTTCTTCATTCCATCACGGCTTAGCCGTGTTGGTTTGACGTGTGGATTTACCATTAAATGGTAAGGAGTCGCACGTTAAATCTCCATTAGTTGAACTGACAGACACTTGCAGCTATGATGATAGTACCTACGCCTTTAGTGCCCTAATTAAACTGACCTTTAGCTAATTGTATTTGTATCTAGGGGTACTTCTTTTTATTGCCTGTATTTTGTTCCATTTCTGTAATTGATACATTACACGTTGAAAGTAAAGGTAAAACATTTTTGTTGAGATCTACTATTTTTAAACTATTGCTTGTAATAATTCGACAACCACTATTTCAAGGCATGGTAAGAAGGCTATCAGATAGTTCTTATACGTCGAAACTTTCTAATTATATAACAATAGGTAGTTAGTGACCAGATTGAAAATAAGGATGAGTTCACCCGAAATTGTTTTAAATGATGGTAAACGGGGCGACTGTAAATTTTCAAGCCTAAGTACCTTTAGATGTCACTAATGTTCCGCGTTGCAAATTACTAATTCCGAATACTTTCAGTAGTATAAATATCGAGTTTCATGTCAATAATATCATCACGTTTTTAGTAATTGAACCATAAACATCTCCATATCGAAGTGATCCGCGTATTGTACGTAATTGGAGTACGGAGTTGTCAGAACGCGTATAGAAATATTTGTGGAGGTGTCTACAGTTAATGGAGTGTTTGGCTCTTCTTTTAATTCGAGAATTCAGTCATAACAAAGAGTCGCTAGAAGATTACGACAGATTAGGGTATCTAAACTTAGCCGTTACTGAAGTAGAAAGGTCAAGAAACTTGTTTCAGAACATTGTCCAATAATGTCCTGGTATTTAAAGTTATAGACATTAGTAAGAAACGAA